TTTCTCCCAATAGTCCGGGTTGCTGAGATCTGTCAACACCTTCCCATACTCCGCCATAGTGCCCTGTCCCGCTCATCAGTCCCCTGCCTCCTCCTCCTCCTCCTCCTCCTCCTCCTCTCACATGCACGTAGCTCGCAGCCCCAGCTAGTGTCTCGATCCCCTTCCGTGGAAGATTGGGTTGCTGCATAATTTAAAGTTCACTTCTCCCTCCTCCTCCTCTCCCCCTCTTCTCCTCTCCCCCTCCCCCCCCCGCCTTTCCCCGCCTTCCTCCTCCCTCCCAACTTCTCTTTCTCCACCTCCACTTGCCCCCCTCCCCTCCCAACTTCCTTCCCTCCATCTCCCACCCGCCTCCTCCACATGCCTGGACAGCCTCCCACATCCCAGAGGGCAGGAATGGTTGCTTGCATTCTTCCGACGGCAAGTTGTGTGCAGCATCGTTGAGGACGCAGACCTCCTCATCCGAGTCCTCCTGCCACACTTCCTCCTCTCGCTCCTTGGCCGTGCTCGCCAGCATCTCCTCCTCCCTCGACAGGATCTCCAGGCAGGTATCGCACACCCTCACCGGGTTCATCCATCCTCGCTCCCTCACGGGGATCCTCCCGGTCGAGCACGTGTCGCAGAATCCTTCCCCGCACCTCCTGCAGTGATGCTTCTGCGAGCTCGTCGCCAGCCCACGTGCGCACTGCCGGCATGCCACGATGTCTTCGTCCTTGGCCCAGTACGCCGGTCGCGTCCAGTCCTTCACCGCCACCAGCGCCGCGTTGACCGGCTTGTCTCCTACCGCAGCGACCACCCCGGCATAGTTTCTGATGGTCTCGATCGCCTTCCTCGCCGTGTTCCCCGCCGCTTCTCCTCCCACCACACTCTCCTCCCACACGTGCGTGCACTCTGGTCGAAGTTTCTCCAGGAACTTCTGGCGATCGTGGTGGTAGAAGTTCTCCGAGTAGACGACCTTGCACTTGGGGCAGTGCCACTGGGCCCCCCACACGACCCCCAACGTCACGCTGTCGACCTTTGCCACTACCCGCCGCTGCCCCTGCCGGTAGCACTCCTGGCACGTGTACTCCTCGTTGCCGTAGCAGGCAACAAACTTGCATGTGCCCTCCACAGAGTGCGGGGACTTGAGCACGTCATGGCTGACCGTCTGGTTGCACTGCAGCCCGCAGGCGAAGCAGCGGTGGGGGCAGCGGAACAAGACGTCGGGGAGGATGTTGCCGCAGTGCGTCGGGAGCTGACCCGAGAACTTGTCGTTGAGGGAGACAATCTGTTGATAGACCACCTGCGGGGCCCGGTGTATCCTTACCGTACACTTGGCAAGGCTGCTGGCTATGGCGAGCTGCAGCGGGGAGAAGTCGGTCTTATGGCCTTCAGGCTTGCGGGAACCGACGTACTGGACGTCGGAGTAGGCGAGGGGGAAGGAGCGGATCTCCTTGTTGGAGGCTGTCGTGAATCGCTCCACCAGGTTGGAGGTGACGTCACTCTTGAGAACTTCAGTGTTGCGAGTCTCGTGGAAGATGATGAGGGCCGGGCCCACCGACGACACCATCGTCTGCACTCCCGTCTTGACAGCGACAGCCTCGAGCTCGGACTGCAGGAGGGAGTCACAACGGGGACGAGCAGCGGTGGAATGGTCCAAAGCGACGGGGATCGGAGACGAGGGGAGATGGGAAGGGGGGGGGAGGGAAGGTGAAGGACAAGGAGGAGGCCAGGTTGTCAGGATGGAGGAGAAAAGGAGGAGGGAAGGTAAAGGACAAGGAGGATGAGGAGACAAGGAGGGGCAGGGAAGAGGAGAGGACTGAGCAGGGACCTGGAAGTATTTGCAGAAAGCAGTGGATGCGTCCTCCAAGAACTGGAACATGTCTTGGTGGAGCCGCTCAGCACGAGTCACGTAGATCGCCAGGTCCGAGACAGCCAGGATCTGCCAGCGACAAATCAGCCCATGACAGTCTCTACCGCACCCGATGCCAGCACCTTGAGCAGCAACCTCTTCCTCTCGTTCTCGTTCTCCGACACCGCAAGCATGCCCTCCGTGTCGATCACGATTGCCTTGTGATCCACGTTGTACGCCATCCACGCTCCTGCTGTGCAGGAAGTTTGCGAGTCGGAGGTTCCGAAGACCTGCATCACGACATGAGCCGGGAACGGAGGAGGCAGTTGTCCTAACCTCTTGTCCGTGGAAGAAGCAGTGGTTCAAGGTGTAAGACTTGCCGTCCCCGGTGTTGCCGAACATCGAGACGACCTGACTTGAGCTTCAGCGCAAGAGCAGCATGCAGGGAGAGGAAGAGGGGGGAGGGGGAGGGGGAGGGGAGAGGGGGAGGGGGGAGAGGGAGAGGGAGAGGGAGAGGGAGAGGGAGAGGGAGAGGGAGAGAATACCTTCACGAGATCATCCGACCCACAGCCCAGGAAGCTCTTGAATTCCTTCAGACCACCAGACTCAGCCCTCTCTCCCAAGGGAACTCAGCAGATGTCAGCTGACCTGCTCGCTCTTGACCATCAACAGGTCCTTATCGTTGATCAGCTGGAACGCTCTTACCCTGAGCAAGACATACTTCTCAGTTCCTCCATCCTCTTGACATCTCTCCACTACCTTGGCGCTTCGGCATCGTCACACGCTTTCCTGTAGCACGACACAGAGCTGAGAGGAGCAGGAGACGAAGGAAAAAGCTCACGGGCTATCTTGGGGCTCGTTCTCCCATCTGAACGGAATGTTCTCGAAAGTACTCTCCCTGCTCGAGTCGAAGGACTCCCCACCAGCGTCCCGGTCCAGTATCTCCGACTGGAACTTCCCCTGCTCCCCGGCCTGGTCGCGTCCCACAGTCACAACAGGAAGCAAGAGCAGCGGAAGGTGTGCCCACCGAGTTGTCCTGCTGGAGGTCGATGACTTTGTCGGGAGGGAGGAAGCAGTCTATGTTCGACCCATCGCCGACTATCGGCTCCGAGTCATCCTTGGAGCTCAACAGCGGCGGCACGTCGGCCCTGCTCCCCTCGTCAAAGGCGCATTTCTCGGCGATGCCCGACGAGAGGTCTCTGATCTCCGCCCTCAGCAGCGCTCCTGGAGACATGGACGCCGACTGATCGAACGCCTCTGAGCTGGAACGATGCACGTCCTCTAGGGGAACGATCGTCTGCTTGTCTTGGACCGATTTCTTCATAGCTGCGAGCATGTCATGGCCAGCGGTGAGAAGAATCGCCGCAGGGGAACTCAGGTCCCTCTAGAGTGCAGGAAGACAAAACAAGAGGAGAGCGTGAGGGGAAGAGGACGGCCAGAGCTGCGAGCATGCAACAGTACAGATGAAGCGAGGCCATGGTGTGTCATGAAGACGAACACCAAGAGCAAGACAAATCAAACAAGATGAGAAGGAGCACGAAAAAACAGGGGCAGCAATGCAGGAAACACAGGAGGTGGTCAACATACAAACAGACAAAGGAGGTCAGCCGGCAACATGCACAGACGAGAACTTGAAACAGGTCATGGCGCGACCAGTGGTGACGAGGCTTGCCGGGGCAGGAAGGGGCAGAGCAAGGCAAGGCAAGAATCAGGGAGGTAGCAGACGAGAGAGCACGACGCGAGGGAGGAGGCGAGGGAGACAAGAGACGCGAGGGACGAGGGTAGAGGAGGAGAGAGTGCGCATGACAGGCGGGTTGTGGCCGGGGAACCTCCATCGTTGCGGGAACAAAGCCTGGCGCCATGAAAGGACCGGTAGTGTATTTGTTCTTGTTTTTATTCTCATGGTGGGGTAGATACATGTACCGGTCCTTGAACAGATCTCAGCATAGTACCATATGCTTTCTCGTATATCATCTCTGAAAAGAGGGGGTAGTCGCAAACAAAGGGGGGTGATACGAACTAGTAGGGGGCTGGGTTTCAGAAAAGCAAGGGTGTCTATTGGAGGAAGAAAAGGTGGGTGGGGTGGTTTTGGTTTACAGTAACTAAACAGGTTACCGAAAACTTTTCTCTGACGCGGGCTCGAATACATGTAGGCTCAGGAATGGGGGTAGGGGTAGTACCGTGCTGATATATTCCCGGTAGTTTTATAGTTCAAAGGTCAAAAAATTAGGGGTGGGGTAGTACAAAGGGTGGGTAGCTACAGATTGGGAGAATTTTTCACAAAGAGGGGGGTGTGAAAATATCGAAATGAGGGGTCGGGGTGGTGATTTGGCTAAATGGGGGTAGGGGTTCTTTTCAGAGTGGAGGCCGAGGGAAAAGGGGTGGGTGATCTGGAGATATATGATGAGGAATACGTGGGGTACTTTTTTTCAGGGTTAGGTGGTAATATGATTGTACAATACCTAGGTATTCATGGGTCATTTTGAGGTGAAAGTAGGGGTACTCTAATCACTCGTTTGTCAAAAAGGTAGGTAGGGTATCTCGTGGTAGGGTGGAAAGAACTACAATTTGATCTGTTCATAGAGGGTAAGGGGTACTGATCTCCAGGGAAAGGGGGCTTTTGTCAATGGGTGGGGGTACTTTGAGTACGGGTCTGTTTGAGAGGCAAAAGCACGGGTGAACAAATTTTGTCTGAAAAGGGTGGGTGGTATGAAAAGAAGGACATGGATTGAATTGGGGTGGGTGGACGTTGTGCAACAATCGTGAAATTGGAAAATGAGGGGTAGGGGTCATGGAAGCAGACAGAGAAATCTCTCTTGGTGGGTACACAGAATTTGTGGAAGTCGAAGTACCGGGTAGTAAGAGCGGAAAATCAAGATGATCTGTGGGGTACACTATATTATAGACGGGTGCGGGATACAACACATGGAATATTTTCCAAGGTAGGGGGTTATCTTGGGGGTAGGGTTGCACCACATTGAAATATAGTTTGCAAAGTTCAAAATTAAATTTGCATGTTTGGTTCAAATTTCAAAATTCCTACTATGTGGGGTGGAGGCGCGTCTAAAAGGGTAGGGGTGGTATTGGCGCTTCCATGAGAGGGTGGTTAACAGGTTGTCAAGGGGTCTAAAGGGGGAGTGGGTAGGTGGTCAAGGGGAAACTGGGGGGTGATGGGTGGGTGTAGGAAATGCGACATGCTCCCCACAGAGTTGCCAAGAGGGGGAGCAGGGGAGGAGGAGGGAGGGAGGAGAGGGGCAGCGAGCGAGTGTGAGAGAAGGGAGGGAACCGAAAGACGGAGAGATACAGCTAAGTCAGGTAGATAGATGTAGAGAGTTGTGGCGGCGGCAGCAGCAGCAGAAGGCAACAACAAGTCGAGAATCGCAGGTACAGAGGCAGGGACTGAGGGAAAGACTTACTCAGACAGAGGAACTTGGACAACAATGAAAACTACGAGAAGATTTCGGGTAGATGAATGCCATGGTTGAACAGGTTGAGCAGAGGCAAAGCTCTGCTGTATGAGGCTGATGATTCAGAATCCACCACATAGTGCAAGGCTGGATAATTGTGTGAGAGGGAGGAGGCAGCATTAGGGGAGGGATTAGTTGGCGAGAAGCTCCTAAACGTCAGGATAAGGCGGTTGCCGTCAGGTTGTCCAAGGATTGTTGTCCATATCGATGTGGTGATGGTTTGAGGGTTACCCCCAGCGATGAGACTGGTGGTGGTTGGATGTGAAGGTTCAGGCCTGACGTGTCTTCTTGTGCAGGATGACGTGAGCAAGTGGCCGCAACGATCTCACGTGACGATACTCTCGGCTTGCTGCCTTCGATGCTGGCTGCAGGATGCAACAGGGCCCAGGGGAGGACGTCTCTCGATCCCTGGTGGAGGCAGCGAGGCACTCACTACAAAGAGCTCTTGTTTGTGAGCAGCCGGCTCTTCTTCCTGCTGCTCTGCCTCCCTACGGGGAAGACTGCCGATGCTGGCCGACATGTCGGGCAGACGAGATCGGATCCCTTGCTGGGAGGGATGAAGGCGGGAAGAATGGGGAGCGCGGAGTGGGACAAAGAGGTTACGAGGGCCAAGGAGCTGCAGGAGCTTGCGGTCCTGTCCCGAGTGAACTGCTCGTTCCGGCATGACCTCATGCACGACTTCGACCTCATGCATGGCCTCTCCCCTAGCGTCCCCCGCGGCGCCTCGGTGTCGAGGGCGAGCCTGCACATGGGGGAGGAGACAAGGATCCCGCGGGGGCTGACGCGGAGAGCTCTGAGCGACAAGTCTCTGTCAGAGATCATGCTCTCTCGCCGATGCTGCGAGGCGGCAGAGAACGTGTCCAAGGACTCCTCCGAGCCCAACATGCGCAGGGCGCACTGGATGCAGATGCCGGACCTGGGCAGGATCAACATCTCGAGGATCAGGAGCTTCGAGCATCTGCTCAACCTCTCCCACCACTTCCGCCTGCCCCTCGCGTTCCTTCCCGGTACAACTCCTCCTCCAACGTCTCC